TATTTCAACTTGCCTAGATCTCTAACTTTGAGCCTATGTGACAAGAAATCTTTGGCTTCCCGAATGAGTTCTTCATTATCTCTCAAATCATCCACATACACTAGTATTACTGCAATTCCATTTGTATTCCTTTTTGTAAAGAGAGAATAGTCTGAGCTAGATTGAACAAAACCAAAACTCACCAAAGCTTCTGTCAACTTGGCATACCATTGTCTACTGATTCGGGCCTAATTGCACATATTTTCCCCCCGGTTTGCTTAGATGTTTGTGCCAATTTCACTCATTAGAGGTTGGTTTTATGCGGGGTTCTTCGTGTTTGAGTGCTTTTCAGGATTTAACAGGTGGAACCAGCCTCGGAGTCGAAGGATTGGCGAAAAGGATCGAAAACCGGGAGAAGAGGTGAAAAAGCGCAAGTTCACGGCTAAAGGCAGGAGTTCACGGTCGTGCAAGACCGTGAAGAAGGGGAGTTGGATTTATGAGGAATTGTTGGGCCCTACCACTACTTTTGCTCGGCTAGAACAAATTACCCTCTCTTTCAGCATTTTTGTCCGGCGAAATTAACTCACACCTATCTTGGAAAGTGGACGTTTTTGTAAAACTAATAAATTCATTTCCATACCTGCAGGATTTATACCAAACACATCTTCTAAGAAATGGAATCCCCAAAATTTGTAAAACTGAATGGAATTTCATTTCCATTTCTATAGGACTTGCAGCTAAACAAGTTGTTAGAGCATCCACATCAATCTACCATATTAAATTACAAGGTGATGGACAATGGAAATGCAATCGTATTTTTAATTGTATTGATGGAAGTCCCGATTGCAATAATGCAAGCTACTATTTTTTGCAATTCCATTTGAAATTCTACGTACGATTTTTTATTTTATTTATGGATAAAATTATATACATATATACCTTTTACTTTATAAAAAATAAGCTGGCCTCACACATGCTATTGCAAGTTAATCTCATTGATGTAGGTGAATAAAAGTAATGTGAGTTGGATTGAAAAAAAAAATTATGTGACAATAAAGAGCACAAATACAATTGATTTTGCAATTATATTGATGTAGATGCTCAAAGGAACTTTTTCTGCCATGTCTCTCTCTTCATCGCCCTTCTGTCTCCCTTCACCCTCCACCAAGCCAACATTAACAAGCTTACCATCCTCCCCAGCTTAACTTCTTCAGCACTATTGATTAACTCATACTTTGTGGTTATATTTCTCATTAGAAATTCAAATAGGAAAACCAACACCTACTACGACCTAGTATATTTGTACGCAATCGATAAAGGCGAGAATATAATTGGAGTTACATTGTATCCTGCTTTCTACCATTCCCACAAGGAGACCGAAACGTTCATACACTACCCTTTTCTTTGGTTGGATTTGAATTGGCCATGACGAACACCCCTGCCTTGTACCAACTCGACCTCGACATGAATGGTGAAAGGGTGCCTGTAAATTTTGAGGCCAGGGGGAAACTAAGGTGGAAGTTGGCGATTTTTTTTTAAGCATATATTTAAATTTCTTATAAATTGTATTGTGTTGATGGAGTGTGGTTCACAGAGTTGAACCCCACAAAATACACATTGATGTAAAACTCATATTAACTGCTTGTTTGGAAACACGAAATTGAACAGGAAATAGAATTTCAGTACTTTTTTTACAACATAGTTTCACTACTTCACCGTAAATAATTTCTCATGTTTGGTTATAATTAAAATAAAGAAAATTGAATCCTTGGTCCTCAAATTATGAGAATTGAAATTCCAACCAAAATGAGTCGGATTTGTGAGCATTTCTTGGAAATTGGTGGATCCCACCGCTACTTTTATATGCATAGTCAAATTACCCTATTTTTTCAGCATTTATGTCCAACGAAATTAACTCACTCCTTTTGAAAAGCAGACATTTTTGTGAATTTAATTTAATTGTTTTTGCAATTGATTTTGCAATTATATTGATGTAGATGCATTAAGGAACTTTTTCTGCCATGTCTCTCTCTTCATCGCCCTTCTGTCTCCCTTCACCCTCCACCAAGCCAACATTTACAAGCTTACCATCCTCCCCAGCTTAACTTCTTCAGCACTATTGATTAACTCCTACTTTGTGGTTATATTTCTCATTAGAAATTCAAATAGGAAAACCAACACCTACTACGACCTAGAATATTTGTACGCAATCGATAAAGGCGAGAATATAATTGGAGTTACATTGTATCATGCTTTCTACCATTCCCACAAGGAGGCCGAAACGTTCATACACTACCCTTTTCTTTGGTCGGATTTGAATTGCCCATGACGAACACCCCTGCCTTGTACCAGCTCGACCTCGACATGAATGGTGGAAGGGTGCCTGTAAATTTTGAGGCCAGAGGAAAGCTAAGGTGGAAGCTGGCGGGAATTTTTTTAAGCATATATTTAAATTTCTTATAAATTGTATTGTGTTGATGGAGTGTGGTTCACAGAGTTGAACCCGCAAAATCCACATTGATGTAAAACTCATATTAACAGCTTGTTTGGAAACATATTGAAAAGGAAATAGAATTTCACTACATTTTTTGACAACATAATTTCACTATTTAACAGTAAATCATTTCTCATGTTTGGTTATAATTAAAATAAATAAAATGGAATCCTTGGTCCTCAAATTATGGGAATTGCAATTCCGACCAAAATGAGTCGGATTTGTGAGCATTTCTTGGGAATTGGTGGGTCCTACCACTACTTTTATATGCATGGTCAAATTACCCTATTTTTCAGCATTTATGTCCAACGAAATTATCTCACTCATTTTGAAAAACGGACATTTTTGTAAATTTAATTTTATTGTTTTTGTTATATAATTTAAAATATGTTTTTTGTTATATAATTTAAAATAAAATTATTAAAATTCATTTCTATGTTGGCAAGATTTATACCAAACAAATCTTCTAAGAAAAGAAATTCCATTAAGTGAAGATTTTTTGTAAAATTAATATTTTTTTATTGTTATATAACTTAATAAAATTCATTTCCACATACCAAACACATCTTCTAGGGAATTACATTTCCATTTCTATAGGAATTTTTACCAAATAAGCTGATAAGGATTCCATTCTGTAAATCAAATTATACCAAATAAATCTTCTAAGAAATGAAATTCCATTAAAAGAAGATTTTTGTAAAATTAATATTTTTTATTTGTTATATAACTTAAAATAAAATGAATAAAATTCATTTCCATATACCAAACACATCTTCTAGGAAATGTAATTCCAAATTTGAATTCCATTTTCATTTCTATAGGAATTTTTACCAAATAACCTGATAAGGATTCCATTCTGTAAATAGATTTGATTTAACATCAAAGTAAATCGTAAAAGAACAACTTAAAATTATGAAACAGGTCCCATTAAAATAAATTATGAAACAGGTGGGCCGTGCCCGCGGGCACTGTTCGGTTCCTGACCCGACCCGTTGCAGGCCTTAACTAATGAGCTATAGACCGAGAAACGAAACGAGAAGGCAGAGAGAGAGAGAGAACACATAACACTCTTCGGTTTCGGTCCAGCTCCGCTCTCGGCGACGGAGTAACGGCGGCGGAGAGGCGTCGCACGGACGGTGTGTAGGAGAGACGACGGAGGTTTGCATTTCAGAGCTTCAGGTTTGGCCTTCTCTTCCATTTCCATTGCCCAACAGTATCAAATGCAGTGTCATGAACAGACTTCTAATTCTCTAGTGAGTTTTCATGACCCGAGTACGGCTGTGCGAGAGTCGAGAAGGGGTTCTTGCTTTCCTCGTCGGTTTTCTTCATAATCAAAGCTCTGATGGTGATGGAATCTTGTCTGTTCACTCCGATTGCTTTAGTTCTCTGGTAGTGTGATGTTTATGCCTGCCCTAGGGATCGCCATGATCCTTTTTGCTCCGCTGGCGTGTGAGAATGGATATCTGTTGTTTTCTTCCAAATTTGGGATTTGTGAAAGCTGCATTCAGACAGAACTGTTTCAGCAAGTTTGGTTTTTCTGTTGCTTTGATAGTGGGTATAATTAGCAAGAACGAACACTATAATTCTTCCCGTGGAAATCAGCCTCATTTTTTCACTGCTTGATGTGCATGGAAATAATTATCTGGTTTTGAATTTAGGTCAGTTGCTTACAGCCTGCCTGAGTTTCCCGTGAATTTGGTCTGTTGCATGCTTGTAGGAGATGTGATCTTATACTTCTGTGTCTATTGCATTGCTTTAATGGAGAAAATGGTTGTTGGTTTTTATCAGCAACAGGTTGAGAAGCATGTATCTCCAGGTGAAGCTGCCATGGAATGTGATCATAGCTCCAGAAAACCTCGACATCAAGGGAGTGCTGCTTCAGAGGGCTATCCTTGTGAAGGTTCTGGAAGAGTTTGCTAGCCGTCGAGCCCACAAGGACCTAGGGTACCACATTGCAGTGACTTCCCTGGAGAGCATAGGGGACGGAAAAGTGAGGCAGCACACAGGGGAGGTGTTGTTCCCTGTTGTGTTCAGTGCCATCACCTTCAACATCTTCAGGGGAGAGGTGCTGGAAGGCCGGGTGCACAAGGTGTTCAAGCATGGCGTCTTCATGCGATGTGGGCCAATGGAGCACATCTACCTCTCGTGCACCAAAATGCCTGGCTACCGTTATGTCCCTGGAGAGAACCCGGAGTTCATCAACGAGAAGAGTCCCCCGGTCGGGAAAGATGATCTGGTGAGGTTCATGGTGATCGGGACCAAGTGGCTGGAGGCCGAGCGGGAGTTTCAGGCGTTGGCTAGCTTGGAGGGTGATTTTCTAGGCCCCTTGCCCAGGCCAGAAATCTAAAAGCTTGTGTCAGATGTGGATGTCTTTTCATCTAATGTTTCAGCATGTCTCTGCGAACAATTACTCTTCTAACTGTTATATGTGAATGTGTAGGTACACTCGACTCTCTACGCCTCTAGATATCTGTTAAACTTAGTGTTTATTTCTAGTTGCGTGATGCTTATATTAAGCTACTTCAAACCCATCAAAGCTTTTAAATTGCTCGAAAACACTGTCGATACAGCGAGGGAATGGCAGCAAATTACACTAGCACTGCAGCAGCATAACCCAGCTCGATATTTGAACTACTTACACATCCAAAATTGTCAGTTCAACGTGAGTGACTTGCTACTATGACACGATGAGTAAATATTTTTCATGTGGCATGAGAACACCATAACGACAATGATATCATAACAACACAACACAGGGATTTGTTCCTCAGTCCTCTTCATCATCAGAACTTTCATATGCTAACCCTAGTAAGCTTTTGACAGAATCCCCCTCTGCTTCAACTTTAGTCGGCTTATTCTCGCACTCTGGTTTGGTTGATGTTGATAAATCAGACTCTTCTTCTTTGTTCTCCCGACAGTTCTCGTGCTTCGGATTTTCTGAACCATGATTGCTTGAAACTCGAGGACGCTTGGGTTTAACTTCCACCACTTTTTTCAGTAGATCCTGCTGCCTACGGAATGAGAGAATTGCACTTTTTAAGCGACTAGAGTACGGCAAGTAGGGGACATGGCAAGAATGACAGATACCTTATGCCGCTCTTTGGTTTGGGCTCCACGCGAAGTGGTAATGGAACTGTGGCTGGCGTAGTATCCGCCAAGGTTGCAGCTTTGTGTCAATCAGTTAAGGATTACAAATACATAACGATAACCTATAGACCACACGGAGTATTTAGACCTAGACCACCCAACAAAGCTATCCTTCCTCGTGCAGATATATGCACAAGTACAATAGACAATATTAGGTGAGAAGCATAGCAAGATCAAACTTAACAACTAGAAAGGAAAATATGCCATATATTGCTTTTTAAGGTATATTAAGCAATTACTGAACCTTTGAAATACCACAAAGAGCAAAGGCCAAGCATTGGCATTCAGAGCATACAACTGTCAATCATCATGCAGACATGGAAATACAGTGATAGCTTTAATTCATTATACTAAATCCAACCGCTACATTGGTATTCAGTGCATACATGCCAAATTTTATTAGATATATTCCCCTTTCCTTCCGTATTGACATGACATTTCCATTCTACTTAATTCAATCTCTATATTCAAGTTCGCTACACATGTAAGTTTTGAAATAATCATACGATAATCCACATAACGCATGAAGACTCCTGGTTCAAGTTTCCATGGCAACAGCAAATATAGTCATACCCTATGTACCACTTGTATGAAAAAGATAAACAATCAAGTGCTCAACATTGATGGATTTTGCTATTTTATTCCGAGCAACAAAAGGATATTTTAAAAGCAGCAAATGCTCTCTTTTCCGTACGCCTGAGGAGCCGTTCAGCATCCTCTTCAGCTTCCATCTGCTCCTTGAGATAAAGTAGGTCATCACTGTCCAATGCTGCAAAACAAGAGCTTCAGAATTTAAAAATCTCTACCAAGAATGAACACAAAGCCAGCTTCAATTGCTCAGTTCTCCAAAATCTAGCCAAGTATACAGGGTATTCAGGGGGTTAGTAAAGCGAAATGATTCAGGGGGTTAGTAAAGTTGAAGAGGGTACCGCCTCTCCCATGAAGATATCCTCCGCGTTCTCCAGCAACTTCTTGCATCTGTCCGCATCATCAACCCCATGGGACAAGCCAGGATCCCTGTCAGGGCATGTTATCAGAAAACTACTCGAGGAGCTTTACAAAAACGAAAAGGTTAAGTAAACCCCATGGGACAAGTCTAGATGTAGTAACCTATGTTACTTCTAAAATGAGAACCATGATGACAACTCCATCACTAACTTTTTATGCACTACTCAATTGAAAACCCAATAACTGAGCAATGTTATCACTAGCTTGTGTGATTTCCTGCTGTCCTATCCTGTTTGCTTTTGGAATCCTAACTCTCTGATTCTAAAGTTAAACAGGCTTGTATGCGAACCTTATCCAATTTTACAGAGCTAAATAGCAAACAGAATGAGTGTTGCAATGCCAAAGGAGGGATGAGGTATAGGAGAGGCGATGCGCTAACCTTAGCAACCATGCGCTGAAAGGTGACATCTTCATCGTCGATTTTATCCTTCCCCTTGCCCCATTTCTTATCTACAATCAAATCCAAAAATACGATACTGAAAGATGCATTGTGAAAAAAGCAAGCTTGCTAGCTACAGCTCCAATCTCCAAGTGGGCAAAATAATAAAAGCGCTATTACTACCTTTGGGATCGGTGAGGTTGGTGTATTCTCGGACTTCCCTTCCCGCCATTACGCCTATCTGAACAAGAAACAACCCAGTTCGTTGCTTTACCTTACTCCTCCCCACTCCTCGAATCAACTATATCAACCAAAAGAGAAGAGCTCAATTCACTAATGCCCAACTCCTCCAACAAGGAAGATGCGAAGGAACCAAAAGCTCTGTTTCGCCAGTTGAGAGAACCTTCCAGAATCTACGACGACAATACAGACAGAAACAGAAAGAACCCTAATTGTCAGACCAATGCTGCAGATGGCCAAGGTCGCAGAGGAGAGAAAAAAACTACCAAGTAGGGACGAAGGAAATTGGGACGACGACACGAACAAATACGAAACCTACCGATCGGTTTTCTGGAGCAGAAGCGGCGTTGCGCGGAGAAGAAATTGAATCGGCGAAGCGAAGCAAATAGGGAACGAGGAACTGCTGCGGTGGAACTTGGCCTTGAATGTGCTATCCTGGCCTGGGAGGGAAGGGATTAATTAAGGGCTTCGTAACTTTCAGTGCCCGCACGGGGACTGATTATAAATTTGACAGCGGCCGAAATAACCAAAGAAGTCTCTCATTTGTTTATTGATAGCCAATTGAGTCAACAACTTTCTTAACTTTCCGATGATTTCCTTACATTGTAAATGAGTTCTAATTATGTCTTAACATATTGTTTAGCAAGATGGTCATTAACATATTTTTTTTATTAGTTTTACCGCTATTTGTCAAATATTTTTGATCAACTTTGACTTCCGTCTTAATTATGTCTTTTCATAAGGTAATTTTGACTTCCGTTTTAGTTATTATGTCTATCATAAGGTAATTTTGTAGTTGATTTTCTTACTTGTCAATTTTTAAATTTTGAAATATATCAAAATGAATTTTATCGTGTAGATTCTGATCTTATGAAATTATTAGGGAAACAAGAAAAATTTAAGACTTTCATTTGTGCCAAGAATTATAATTTATAACCTTTATGTAAATAAATATGGAATTACATGAGTAAATGAGTAAAAAATGTGAATTATAATTTCCCGGCTGAAATATGGCCGAAACGAAGAAAGCAACGGCGGCATTCCCGAGTCCGAGTGATGGTGGCGGTTAAATTCCAGCGACTAACTGACAGACGACAATAACATGCCGACGCTGAGCCATCGCTTTCTCCACGCCGGCCTCCTCTCCCCTCCTCCGATCATCGTCCTACTAATCTTCCCAACCACTCCCCTCTTCCTCCGCCCCTCTTCCCCTACCTCTCGGCGGTCATCCTTCACCATTTCTTCCTCTCACTCCCAATCTCACAGAATGGAATTGGAGGAAGGCAACAGCGGCAGAAGCCAGAGGACAGTTGCAGCGAGCTCCCCCTTCGATTTCCTGACAAAGAAGCCCTACGTCCCTCCATCTTGGGCTTCTCATCTCAATCCCATCCCTTCCCACGTCTTCTCCCTCGCCCATTCCCCCACCCCCATCCATCGATGGAATCTTCCCAATTTGCCCCAAGGCACCGAGGTCTGGTTGAAGGTACGCAGGATTGAATTTTTTTTTGGATGGTTTGACTTTGAAATGTGGAGTCACGATAGACAGTGGGAAGTCTGATTTGCTCAAATTTGCTCTCCCCATCGCAGCGCGATGATCTCTCGGGGATGCAATTGAGTGGCAACAAAGTTAGGAAGTTGGAGTTTTTGATGGCGGAAGCTGTGGCCCAGGGCGCCGACTGTGTCATTACCGTCGGTGGAATTCAGAGCAACCATTGTCGTGCGACTGCTGTTGCGGCCAAGTATCTTGGGCTGGATTGTTATCTCATCCTTCGCACTTCCAAGGTTCTCTAATTTCACTAGTTCGGTTTTTCTTTCAGCTTGAATTTGTGGGTTGATTGAATCCTTACTCCATTGTTGATTAGTTGACCAACATTTAGTTAAAGGTGAATACAAAGTACAGGGAGTGTGTGGTTTTGGTGAGTGTGTGTGGATATGTTGTAACATGAATTCGTTTTCTGTTGCCTATGCGTATCTAGGTGGTTGTGGATCAAGATCCTGGGTTAACAGGCAATTTACTCGTGGAGAGATTGGTTGGAGCTCATGTTCGACTCATTTCGAAAGAAGAATATGCACAGATTGGGAGTGTGGTAAACTTACACGATTGCCTCATCTTTGTTATGTTTTTTTATGTTTTCTACTGTGTGGTCATACATGTAGCTTAATCTCAGAAGTTTGAAGATGGGGTTACTCTAATCACAAAGTAAATGTGTAAATGATTAAATGAAACTTTAAAGCTGCAACTTTTCGAGCTATCTTGTGTTCTTTGTTTCTGGCGTTCACAAAAGAGCTAATGGGTTACTTGTTCAGAGAAGCATAGATAAGGAAAGTTAAATTTAGACATTTTGAGATTGTTTGTTGGTAATCAGAGCTTCAATGTTAATGCAGAATAGTAGGCGGGCTGTGATTGGAGTTTACCGGGGGCAGCATGCTTCCATTGAGTGTTTTCTGTCTTTTCATTGAATTTTAAGGAATTGAGATGTGTCGCCTTGATGTATCCAATAGACTATCAGAATACTTAGAAAATAACATAAGCTATAAGTCGGGAATATGAGAGGATTGCGGAGGTGCTAAAATTTACCACATATCTTTTTGGTGGTATCATCCATTGTCTTGATTGGATAGTTTGTTCAGTTTCTATTTTTCTTAACTTTAATGTTGGTGGTTATTGATGCCACCTTGATTTGTCATCCACATGAACCCATCTCATTCATTTATGTTTTCTTGATATATATGTGCATGTTTAATCTTTTCCAGGCGCTCGCTGATTTGTTGAAAGAAAAGTTGTTAAAAGAAGGTAGAAGGCCATATGTTATCCCTGTTGGTGGATCAAACTCCCTGGGAACATGGTAAGTTTATCAATCTTTGAATCTGTGCATAGCAGAGCATTACCATCCCCAGACCCCAGTTGCTTACCCGATTTTTGTTTGTAAAGATTACTACTCCAACTAAACGTCATTTTCCAACTGGTTATAGATTTGGTGTCTTATTCTTTCTCTTCGTTGAATTGTATTGTTTCCATTCTGTTGGATTTGTTAATCAGAAATCAGCTGTGTCTGAAATTTAGATCTTTGTTTGCTTATCTTGCCTGTTGCACATGTTGTGAAAACTGTGAGTTGTGCTACCAGTTTATGGATATACTCTTATTCGACTCCCATCTCTTTCTTCCCTTATTGTGATGTGTCATTTTACTAAGTTGATAGTCTTTAACAGTGTCTTTGTACAGTAAATTCTAGTTGTTCCAGTTCCTGTTTGGACAATATAATCTTGTTTTACATGTAACGTTTTCTGAAAAATTACTATGCAGGGGTTATATTGAAGCAATCAGGGAAATTGAGCAGCAGGTTGAGGCAGGAAATGGGGAGGTAGAATTCGACGATATTGTTGTGGCATGTGGCAGGTCACCTGCTTGCTCTAATCTCACTTATTTAAGTGTTTCTACCTCTTATGGTTCTTTGACCTATTTTCTAGAATCGTTGCTTAGTTCTTTCATTTTCTTTGCAACTGTAATGCGGAGTTGCTTACTATGAACATTTCCTTTACTAATTGCTACCTCTGTTTACAATGATATGTAAGTTAATGACTGGTCATTCTCAATTGAGTGATAAACTTTGACGGGATTTTGGAGTTTTACTTGTCAAATATATTATCGGAAGCTCGTATATTACCCTACTATGAAGTTGATGGGGTTTTCCTTGTTTTCCTTATAGTGGAGGTACAATAGCTGGTCTGGCTCTGGGATCACATCTTGGAAGATTGAAAGCAAAAGTATGGTTTATGCTTCTACTTGACCTTCTCATTTTTTTTTTTTTTTGTAGTAGTTACCTTCTCATATTTTTAGCTGCGAAAGCTAATCAGCTTTCCAATGCACGTGCCCAATTTGTCCAGGTCCATGCATTCTCTGTTTGTGATGACCCTGATTACTTCTATGGCTTTGTTCAAGACCTAGTTGATGGAATGAAAGCAGGTGTCAATGCCCGGGATATTGTAGACATTCAAAATGTGGGTTGTCCTATCCACCCCCTTGGTGTGTGTGTGTTTTTGAAATCTTGTTGGGTTGAAGATTTTGCATGTTCTGCGGACGAATTAGAGTGGTACAGCATCTGTAGAGCTGGTATTGGAAAGGGGTAAAACATAATCTCTTGGTTTCTCTGTTTAACAGGCCAAAGGCATTGGCTACGCACTCAACACTTCTGAAGAAATTAAGTTTGTCAAGGACGTCGCTACAGCCACCGGCATTGTCCTTGACCCAGTGTACAGGTGCAGCACTCTTACTCTGTTAGATACACATTCTTGTGTTTCCCCCCCAGTCATTCGAAGATGATCATGGCTCGACGGGCAACGAGCATATGTTTCTTGGTTTCTTCTGTATATACCGACATCATTATCATTTGCTGCGATTGGCTTGATTGCTTGACAATGTGTAACAGTGGGAAAGCTACGTACGGGTTGCTGAAAGACATGGAGGCGAATCCAAAGAAGTGGCAAGGCAGAAAGGTCCTCTTCATACACACAGGTGGTCTTCTGGGATTGTACGATAAGGTCGATCAGCTGGCTCCGCTGGTCGGAAGCTGGAGCAGGATGGATGTCCATGAATCCGTTGCAAGGCAGGAAAGCATTGGAAAGATGTTCTGAAGAGATCATCTGTTTTTACAATGCACATACATGTTCTGGTTTATGTTCTGAATAGAAATGAATAACGGGTTCATCGGATGATAAATAAACTGTTCTGCTATGTTCTCTCTCAGAATTTATCGCGTTTTGGTTTCCGTTTCGAGGATCTGAAATGTTTCTCGTTTTGCGGAAAAGAAACGCAATGAGCTGACGATATATTTATACTCGCGATATTCCGTGATAATGAAAATGTCGCGATATACCGGCAATAAGGGTTTTGATTTTTTACCCGGAAATCGGTCTTCCCACCGTGAACGTAGCTCTCATTTGCCACGAGTCGCCTTCCCTTCCAATTTCCCCCGCAAAACTTCCCAACGGCAATCGATGGAGGGCAAAGCAGAAGCAGAATCTGAAGCATCGACAGCAGTACAGCCGTCTCTCTTCCCTCTCTTCGCCGCTTCCGATACCGCTCCCCTGCACGCCTCCACCTCTGCCGCACTTCCTCCTTCGCAATGGCTACAGAATGCAAGCTTCACCGCCGACATCGGCGCCATAAACGACGCCGTCACTTCCCTCCGTCGGGACCCTAATTCTGAAGACGATTCTGCTTCCGATTCCGAGCGACGGAGGCAGGACAGCTCGAAGCCGTCAGCGGCGAGGTATGAGTTGCTGGAAGAAGATGAAAGCGACGAGTTTGTGAAAGAGGCGAAAGAAAGTGGTCGCTATGATTTATCATCCTCTGATGGCGGTAGGGAGAGAAAGAAGAGGAATAGGAAGAAGACAAAGGGCAGCAAAAGGAAGCGGAGCGAAAATCGATACGGTGATCATGCTTCCAGAAAGTCTAACGTTAGGGGTTGGGCGGATTCCGATGCTAAACAAGCAAAGGATTATTACTTCGATTCTCATGGAGATCGGGATAATTTGGCCTATGGCTCACTTTACAGGTACATTTCCTTCACTTTCCATCATTGGCAAGCCTGAATTTGTTTTTCTTAGGTACTTAACACTCAGCTTAGTCACTTAAGGCCTCATCATTCTTCAGGCATTCATTCTGGATGGTCTGTTTGCTTGTGGTTAGTTTTGTGTTTTCTAGAAGTTCTTCTGGGATCTTTACGGATTGGACAGAACCCATTCCAGCTTTAGAAATTTGGAGTGGAACGTTTATTGAGAAATCAAGTGTAGCAGCTTTATGGAGCCAAAATTTCAACAGTTCTAGTGTGCTGTTGTCGTGGCAACCTTCAAATTGATACCCTGTTTCTAATACAATGCAGGATGGATGTTCCCCGATACAAACCTTATAGTAGTGCAAGCCCTTACGGGTTTAACCTAAAAGGGGTTTACTGGTCTAACAAGAAGGGATCTACATTTGATGGGGATGCTGATGTTGATGTTTTGGATACTAAACTGAAATCTGATGGTCGTTACTGGTCTCCGAAGTACGCAGCTCTTGTACGCCACAAGAATTTGAAGCGTCTACGTTTCCTTGCACATGTTCAACCAGAAGTCACAGCCTCAGACGATTTCATACCGCTACTAGATAGCCAGATCCCTCAGGAAGCGGTTGATCAGGCTGCATCCTCAAAAGCATCAGTTATTGAAGAATCTTGGGAAGATGAGGTGCTGCGCAAAACACGGGAGTTTAACAAATTAACTAGAGAGCATCCTCATGATGAAAAAGTATGGTTAGACTTTGCTGAGTTCCAAGACAAGGTAGCAAACATGCAGCCACAGAAAGCTGCTCGTCTGCAGACACTTGAGAAGAAGATTAGCATACTGCAAAAGGCGGCTGAGCTCAACCCTGATAATGAGGAATTATTGCTTTCTCTTCTGAAGGCTTATCAGAGAAGAGACACTGCTGACGTGCTTGTGGGGAGGTGGGAAAGGGTTCTTATGCATCATTCTGGAAGCTGTAAGTTGTGGAAAGAGTATTTGAATGTCATTCGAGGGGACTTTTCCAGTTTTAAGGTTTCAGAGATGAGGAAAATGTACGCCCATGCGATTCAAGCTTTATCTAATGCATGCAGCAAGCAGTTTAGGCAGGTTCTTATCCAACTTCCTTCATAACCATGGCATCTTCAGTTGTCTTAGATGTTCTTTCTAAATTCTACTTGCAATCTTTTTCTTCCATTTACAAATGAAGCTCTGCTGGCAATTTCGGATACCATATCTTGGTTCTCCAGGATATCTGATAACCTGGTTGCACTCCTTATTGAGGTTGTTTATTAGCCATATGTCTTGAGTTGTATCATGCATACAAGCTACTATCCGTGTAAGATTCTGTGAATTTTTATTGTAGGCATTTCAGGTTTATTATGTCCTCTTATCAATCATGGGATAATATCGCCTTTATTTGTTCGTTTTGGTTTCTGGAATTGAATATCAATCTTCTGATTTCTTCACGATACTGAGGCTTTTACCTTTTTCTTATGATAATATATTTATTTGAATGTTGATCCGAAGATTTGAACCTAGGGTTTTTAATTCTTAAGTTTGTATTTGTTGTACTGCAGGTTCACCAAAATGTCAAACCAACTTCTCTCGATCCTTCCATTCTTCAGCTGGAACTTGGGCTTGTGGACATATTTGTTAGCCTTTGTAGGTTTGAGTGGCAGGCGGGTTATCATGAGTTGGCCACGGCTCTATTTCAAGCAGAAATTGAATTTAGTTTGTTTTGCCCATCATTGCTTGTTAGTGAACATGGTAAGCTGAGATTATTTGAGCATTTCTGGAATAGCGACGCTCCAAGAGTCGGAGAAGAGAGGGCTGTTGGCTGGTTGACGTGGTTGGAGAAAGAAGAGGAGAATAGACAAAGGATTTTGAAAGAGGAAATGTCACGTGAAGAGGAGAGCGGTGGTTGGACCGGCTGGTCAGAACCTCGGTCTAAACATGAGGGAACTGACAAGAACCCAGAAACTACGACAGATATTGTAGGGGCTACTGAAGAAAACCACGAATTAAGTGGAGATGAAGATAACAATCAGGAAGATGACACTGAAGCATTGTTAAAGCAGCTAGGAATTGATACGGATTCTGGGGCCACAGATGAGGTTAAAGATACTTCAACCTGGGCTAGATGGTCGGAAGAAGAGTCATTACGTGATGCGAACCAATGGTTGCCTGTTCATGGAAAATCAGGTGTCTCTCTATCCCTCTCATTTGCTTCATTTTTGTTTTGCATTTAGTGTGCATTAGTCACATGCTGTAATGACATGGAGGCATCATCTACTATGTGCTTCATAGGCAGAGAATCGTTGATTTTCTAACTGAAATCTAAAATTAAGCAGATCAGCATGGAATACCTAGCGGAGAAACTGACGAGCAGTTATTGAGAATTATTCTGTATGAAGACATAAACCGGTTCTTGTTCTCAATTAACTCCCAAGAAGCCCTCTTCTCGCTTGTTTCTCAATTTGTTGATTTTTTTGGTGGTCGCATGCCGCAATGGTAAGCTTCTTTGATGTTTTGGACTATGAACAATTCTTTACATTCTGATTGGTGATTTTATAGCTCACTGTTCTGGAGTATGCATTGATCCTTTAAGCTGAAAATCCACCATGTATTGTATAAAGAAGCTAAGACCTGCAACATTCTAACTGTAAATCATTATGTAGAAGAGCTATCAGTTTCATTAGGGAGGACGTCTCAAGTTGATATGAAATAAGAACTGACACATCCGTTGTATTGGTTTAGTTTAAGTTATTGTCTATCATTGAGTATTGTTCAAGAAATAGGACTGTGTAGATTTAACTTACCAACCTAGTAATTTTTCTAAGCACTTGTTTGTTATTCAGAAGAATAATTTCATGCAATGGCCTCGGTTCTGTGTTTGCATTTCTGAATTAGATTTAACTAAGTTTAGCCTGCTAAACCATGTGTTTCATTGCTCATCTGCCTGTTTCCTGGGGAATACAGGCTCCACAAGAAGGCAGTGACTGGGACACACATATTGTTGGAAAGAAGCAGCAAGTAGTGAGAAATTGTTACATTTAGTTTTCCCATGAATATGGGTGCTCTAGAAAGTTGGGATCCCTGGCGTCATGCAAGAAGTTAATAAATAGGTTCATAGGTTCAATATGGAGCAGTAGCGCAAGTAACTTAGTAAAAGGACAATAAGTCTTGTCTCATTTGGAAATTATCCATGTGCTGTTTTTCTTTCTTGTGGAAAAAGAGCTACATTTCTCACCCCCGATCAACCATTGTACGAGGGAGTGTCTAACTTTGTAATCTCTTTTATCTAGGAGTTGCACCTAACATTCTCATGTAATTGATGCCGTAGTTTTAGATAACAGAGTAGTCTAGGCATATCATATTCAGAAAATGGTTGTGCTTATATATAATCTGCTTCTCCCAAGCTTCTATGTCACACTTGTTCTAATTCCCACACTAGCTTCTTGCTTTTACGGGTACTATAGTATGAATCATGGTCATGGTCTACCTTTTCCTTTCCAGGCTTTGCACTAACAGTTCAAGTTGGGCTGAGCAAATCCTGATGGTGGAGTCATTGCCTGGTTCTATATCTGAAGATCTGAGAGGAGTTTTTGACATGGTAGTGAAGCCACCGAGTTTAGCAGGTAATGATTTGGAGTTCCTGCTCGGAGGTGTTGGTGACAGTTCTAAGAGAACTGATATGATGAAGTTTCTCCGTAATGCCGTATTACTTAGTCTATCTGCTTTTCCACGGAATCACAAATTGGAGGAAGCTGCTCTTCTAGCTGAAGAATTATCTAGCACTAAAAATGATTCTTCTACACCATGTAGAGCTTTGGCCAAGACCCTTTTGAAAAGTGATAGACAGGTATCTTGCTGTTTCTTGACATATTGACAATTCGTTTGCTGGTCCAGAAGTCAGATGCTGCAACTATAGCTTGATTAATTTTTCAAAGTAGTATGCTGGCTAACATTCCTCTGAAAAACTTAGCTGCTGTCTCCAAATGTTAGGTAAACCTTTCTGGTTTCTAATCCGTTTAGTTCATAATTTGGGTAGGATGTGTTACTCTGTGGTGTATATGCCAAAAGGGAAGCTTCTTTTGGCAAAATTGATC